AGGGCTGTTCAATTGCTTTAAAAGCTCAAATGAAGTTTATTAAATGAGACCTCAGAGGGGCGAGGAATCAGCAATAGAACTTACCCAGACACCACTGAGACCTAAATCATTTCACTTTTCAAAATGCAAAAATACCGGCAGAAAAAGGTGTTTATAAGTTGTAGTAATAAACTACTATAAAATGCTGGGCTTTACGTTGCAAACTACTCCATCTGTTATACATGACTGTTGATGCAACGCCATCTTTCGTAGAAATGGTGCGAAACAGTGCACAATGGGCTTTGAGGTATATTTTCTCTGGTTTGATAGGTGTGTCAGAGGTGTTACCAAATCAGCAGTGACATGTATATAAGTCCTGCCGTATTAAAAAGGCAGGATTCTATTAAAGTCCTCTACAAATGTAGCTGCTGCATCTTGGTGTATGCAACAACTGAAGTCATCAAAATACATATTTTGAAGTATTAAACTCATATTAAAACCTATTTCATCAGGCTCCAAAAATCTTTCAAAAGCACATCAAGAATGGCCTTCTCATCTGCCATAGTTGCAACGTTTGCATCACACAACCGAATGTTCAACACACCATTATTTTCATTTAATAAACATTTTTCTACATTTTGCCAAGCTGAAGGCAGCCCTACTGAGGGCACTCTGTTTAAATATTCCGCTCCTCACTGCCCCTCCACCCTTCTGCTGCAAGTGTGCATTTGTGTAACGTGTGACGCACATCCGAGTGGTGAATAGAAGTGAAAGACTGCAAGTTACAAAAGAACTGAAATGGGGCCCAGGCTGAAACACTTCTTCAGTGTGAATGCACAGGACTAAACTGCTGTAGGAAGGAATAGGTGGGTATATGTAAATGCATTGAGTTTCATGATATCGCAAAACCAATAAATTCAAAATGGGCTGTTATGCAACTTATCTTCCATACATGGGCTACATGGTCTGGAAAGTGTACAGTATACTTTAAAATACATTTTTAATTTTTTTTTTTTTTTATCATATTCTTTTATTTCAAGAACATGAGGAAAATTCCATTTTCCATGACATGCAACTAACAGAACTGACATGATCACTATTATTGTTGATTCAAGATGACTGAAAGAACTGAATCATACATACATACATACATCATCTAAACCGCTTATCCTTCTGGGTCGCGGTGGGGTGCTGGAGCCTATCCCAGCTGTCATTGGGCGGAAGGCAGGATACACCCTGGACAGGTCGCCAGTCCATCGCAGGGCAGACAGACAGACATACACATTCACACCATCACTCACACCTAGGGGCAATTTACCATGTCCAATTGGCCTGACTGCATGTCTTTGGACTGTGGGAGGAAACCGGAGTACCCGGAGGAAACCCACGCAGACACGGGGAGAACAGGCAAACTCCACACAGAAATGACCCTGGTCGCCCGGCCGGGAATCAAACCCAGGCCATTCTTGCTGTGAGGCGACAGCACTACCCACTGCGCCACCGTGCCGCCCAGAACTGAACTGAATCATGATATACTTAAATAATCTCTGTTCTGATTGGCTGCCCTGTGTTGTGCCTCACTCTGAAAGCAGTCAGGATGGAAACACTCCTTATAACTTCAGCAGGAATGGGTGAGGCTAAACTTCTTGAACAAGCGGATATATGTAAGTGTGCGGATTTTTTGAGGAGGCCTCTGTCACTGAAGAGGTGCTATGCAGTTGTTAATTTCACCTATAGCTGGCGCCAGCTCTGCCACTAAGGGTCAATACTTGTGAGTATTGAACGTACCCATTTAAGGATTGCAAGCATGTGACAACTTAGAATTTATTGAAGTGTATTTTTATATTTATATTATGTATCTATAGAGTAACAACTGTCTTTAGAAAACTTACTGCATGTATATGACGAAGACTACCATTTTCCTGCTTTTGAGCTTGCTAGGATGGTGAGTTTTAAGCACAGCGTGCCAGAAATTATGAGATAAAAAGAAGACCCTATGACCTTAAAGCTAACCATCGAAACTACAAAAGTGAGTGGCTTATGGATGTTTAAAAAAAAGATAAAAAAAAAATAAATTTTTACTCTAATGTTATGATCTATCAGGTACCTGACTATGTAAATACTATGTTAACACTATGCTAACAAATTTTACACTTGTGTGTGCTAAGAGAGAAATGTACATTAACCCTGACTACTGATAATGAAGTAAATGTATGTGTAATTTTTGGGGACTTTTGAACAGAACAGTGGTTCACACTGGGATTTTTTTTTTTTTTTGAACAGAAACAATCCACGTCCATTCCAATGTATTTCACATGAAACTGAGGAAATTATGTACACAAACATTGCAAAGCAAATACAAAAATTTACCTTTGTATTTATGCATTTATTGGTGCAGAAGTTTCACTATTAACAAAGCAGTATTGCATATCTGGTTTCGCTTAACCCCTTCTTAACCTCAGCAGAGTGGAACACTATCGGGGTCCACAGGATGTGTTCTCATATGCACAATATTTAAATCCTGGCTGTGGCTCGCCCTGCATAGAGCTGCTCTGTTGTTTTCCTGCTTTGTTTTGAGAATCAGAACAAGCACAACAAGCCTACGAGGCAGGGCCGGCTCTCGACTACAGGAGGCCCAAGGCAAGATTTTACCTGGGAGGCCCCCCTGCCCCCAAGCAAACATGACTTATCTTAGTATTTGTTTACTGAATTGGTTATTCAAAAAAAAGAAAATGAAAATTACTGTATTATTTTGTGATTTTTTTACTTTGTTCATCTACATGGGCCTATCAGATCTCCTCATGTATGAAAGGGTCAATGTCCTATTGTTTTTTTCTCTTGTGGTCCACTTATAACATTTGCGTGATTCTATGTACCAAACAACTGTCAAAGTTCATTTTTATATGACATTTTCTCTTTAACCATTAGAATTGAACAGGCTGTTTTTGTTACTTGCCTTTAAGACTGAAATACAAACCAGATTCCAAAAAAGTTGGGACAGTGTGTGAAATGCTAATAATAACAGAAAGCATTGATCAGTAAAGTCTGTTTGACCTTGATTAAATTTAAAACAAAGCACAAAAACACAATATTTGATGTTTTACCTTAGGAACTTCATTGTTTGTTGTAAATATATGCTCATTCCAAATTTGATGCTTGCAGCAAGTTCCAAAAAAGTTGAGACAGGAGTATGTTTACTACTGTGTTACATCACCTTTCCTTTAACAACACTTAATAATCCTTTGGAGATTGAAGAAACTAATACAGTTTTGAAAGCAGTTTTCAGTTATACAAGTCTTCAGCTGTGCATCCATATAGGACCTTTGTTGTTGTATTTTGAACTAAACAACACACTTGTTTTCAGTGGAAGACATGTCTGACACTGCAGACAGGACAGTCTAGCACCTGCACTGTCTGAGTTACCACGTTGAAATAAACACAGACATCCCTGAAAAAGAAAGTGTCTAGAAGGCAGGATATGTTGCTGCAAAGTGTGTTGAGCATTAGTGGTGCTTTCACAGATGTGCAGGTTATCCATTAATACCCCCCCCCCCTACCATGACAGACCCTGGATTTTTAACTTTCCACTCGTAACAATCTGGATAGTCCTTTTTTTCTTTGGCCTGGAGAATTCAACATCCATTATTCCCAGTACTTGTGATTTTTGCATGTTCCCATCCAAGGACTGTACTATCTATATAGTAATTACAGTTTTTAGACAATTAACTGCATGTATATGATGAAGACTTGCTAAGATGTTCTGCATGTTGAGATGGTTTTAAGCACAGCTGGCCAGAAACATATGAAGCAAAGAAATGACCTTAAGACCCTAAAACTGATCCTTAAAACTACAAAAATGAGCAGCTTATGGATGTTTATATCCTCCTCCATTAGTATGAAATTAGCAAGTCTTTCTGTGTCTGTCGGTGATAGTGGCTATAAAACAACCATTTAGGGACATTTTAACTGTTGTAGTCCTTTTTTGCATTGTTCATAAAACTAATTTCGTGGCAGACTGAAGTTATAAACACTTGGTGCATTTTTCTGGAGACCATGGAAACCCCAGCATTGAAAGGCGCCATCCACTGTTCACAGAACGCATTGCAGTTATCTGATATAATCAACCTCCCCTGATCCTGATACTGAGGTCTCTATTGAGTATTTCTCAGTCACCTTGTGGTTCAATGGAATTCTTATTCATTTTATGTTTCTTGAACATTTCTCAGTAGGCTCTGTCTCCTAAACAGCTTTAGAGGTCTGAGACATAAATCACAGCGTTTCTGGAAATGACAAAGTCCCTGAGAATAAGGAAGAAACCCTGAGACGAACTGAAAATGAAAAAGGAATCCCAGTTTCTTATGTTTGGCAAGAAATAGCAGGGATTTATGTATTAACAATAAACAGTATGATAATAAGAAGCAATTAATATTTATATTCCACTTAATGATGATCTCACAGTCAGTGAGGAAAAACAATGACAAGATCATCTGAACCCTGTAGAAAGAATATAGCAAAGCACATTAAGCCTGCTAATAATGTGCTCGCCTAACAATGGTTTCTAATGAGAAGTCACATTAAAAAGAGATGAGCTTGGATATAAATGTAATGTGATTACACAATGCTCTCCCCACACGCAGTCGTAAATGCTCGCATGGGACAATGTGATGATTTTCACAGTTTTTCGCCCATATTCATTGTTCTCTGTGGTCAAGCATGCCGGCCATGTCCTGAATTGGTCAGGGGCTCTATAGAGCTTTCCTGAGAAGCCCACACTGCTGAGGCAGCCGAAAAGCACCCAGCCTCAATAAACAAACAGCAGCAGCCGGTGGAGTCACAATGGTCCAGGGACAACAGATCTGAAACAAAAGCACGGCTTTCCAGAAGCCCGGGCCACCATAAAGAGGCATGCATCGAGAGCTGTTGCCGTTTCGCTGAGCACCAGTCAGAAAGAAGCTGCGCTGCTTTGCAGCAATGTCTATGGGCGAGTAGTACCCTGTCATATAACCAACATCAGGACAGGAATGCCTCTGCCAAGACGCCGATCCTCCTTTTTGGGCCAGGCTAGCACGGAGCGGCCGGGCGGCGTGGGCCGGGTGAGCACGGGTGGCACCACAGCGCCCCGGGGCGTCTTTGTGGGCACCGCGCCCCCCATCGTGAGCCAAACACCCGCCAACCTTGGTGCGCGCGTGTCCCGCAGGGCGCTGGGCATCAGCAGCGTCTTCCTGCAGGGCCTGCGCAGCACCACCAGTGCCCCCGTGCTGCCCCAGCCGAGAGACCGGGCCCACCAGCAGCTGGGCTTTGACAGCCTCAATGGCTGTCTGCTGGAGTACCGCGACAAGGTGCGCGCCCTGGAGCAGCTCAACCAACAGCTGGAGGAACAGATCCGGAGCTGCCTGGACCGCAAGGCCTCCAGCGCTGAGACATGGGGGTCCCTGAGGAATGAGTGGGAGGACGTCTACAGACAGGTGGGGCAGGGCAGGCCATGGTACACCAGATAAGGAGGAAAACTTGGTTATGGTGCCATGAGAATGTAGATTTACAGTAGACGCAGAGTAAATGGCAATGGGAGATCTAAACTGGGTTTAGATGGATCATAATGTGAATGAGGAGGTTGCTAAAATGTCTGGATCGCACAATATGAGGGTGTCTACGTTATTATGTTCCTCTGTTTTAATCAGGCTGGAAATTTTAAACCGATCCCGAATACAGCCTGAGAACTGCCCAAGATTGATCCAACCAAGTTGGACCAAGTATTACAAAACTGTAGCCTAAATTCTGTCCAAACCCAACACCCACCCTCCGGAAACTAAATAAAACTTGACATACCTAATGAGAGTGCCTTGTTGTGTGGCATCATGGACTTTAAAACAGCATGTCAGATTAAATTTTCTTAAGCTTAACTAAGTAGGGAGGAACAGTAAAATAGGAAGTAAAACTAAAGTGGGAGTAAATGAAGGCTATTAACCTATTAAAGAGGAATTCTGCCAAACAAAGTCATTCAGGGTAGTTTGATGTGAAATAGTTCATTGAAGAGAAATGTACCAAGTCAGATATCCTACAGTGAAAAAGGAATAGCCATTTTATTTACATCCATAATGACCAGTGAACCCCCACATCTTCTCAGCTTTTATATATATAAATGTATAAATAGGTTTTTTTTTGGGGACTGTTTTGCCCCACAATACCTTGCATGTACTTCTCTGCCATGAATGCACTTTTAAAAATATAATTTAGACCGAAACTTTATCTCAAAACTATCATAAAACAATGTCTAATGCATCAGGCAGTGTATTCATTACCATTTCCTGTAAATACTTTTTGTAAGAGAGCTTTTTGTGGAAATTCGACATCTGGTTCCTATCACCACTGTGAACAATTCTAACTCTGTTCCTCTATAACACAGCATTTCACATCAAACCACTCTAGTTGGCTTTTTTAAATAACAATTTAATTATGCAGAAATTTTGAAAAATATGTCTGTACACCGACAAAATCAGAACTCGAACAATGCGTCTTTATACAATGGATTGAAATATATGCATGGGCAAGCAGACTAACACAATCTCACTGTACACCAGGTGAGCGAAGCCATCCTGGACAATGCTCGACTTATGCTGCAGACAGAAAATGTCCAGGCCAATGCTGAAGACCTCAAAGACAGGTATGTGACTTTCAGAGAGGCAGAAAATCAGGCTTGTAACGAATGCAAGGTTGCTAAGGTAAAAAGTGTTGCAAGGAGTCTCCAGAAGAAGTAGTTCCCGAAGCTGTGCTTGTATGTTTATTCAGGTTTGAGAATGAGCAGCCTTTCCGAAAGGCGGTGGAGGAGGAGATTAGCTCACTCTACAAGGTGATTGATGATGCTAACCTGACCGCAATGGACTTGGAGAACCAGATTGAGTCCATGAAAGTTGAGCTAATAGACCTCGCCAGAAACCATGAAGAGGTAAGCTAAAGAATACCAGCCCCACAACAAAAGCTTGCTGGAATTTATTCAGAGCCCTACAGAATGCAATTCAGGACACATCAGGGTACGACCAAATGCTGGTTTTTTTCCAGTTTGCAGCATTGAAAAGACTTTGTGATCCACACAAACTCTACCCCTCTGTAGGATGTAAGAGAGCTGTATAACCAGATGGCAGGTCGTGACGTTGATGAACCTGATGCACCTATTGAAACCAGTCTGGAACAGATCCTGGCCTGTATCCGTTCCCACTGGGAGAAGGTCATAGAGAAAAACCGTACCGAGACTGATGCTTACCTGGAGTGCAAGGTAAAATAAAGTCTAAAACTACGTCTAAAAAATATACACAATAGGAATGATATGGTAGCTGCGGCCATTCTTACTGCTTTTTACATTTGCTGCTTATTATGCCATTGCTGTATCAGTTGATAATTATGTGCCTGTACATGTTTGTGAGAGCAGCAGACTGACTGTGTGAACAGTAAGCTGAGTCGAGAGGAGGAAGAGCTGGAGAGTCTGAAGACAGACTGCAATGATGCTAGCGTAAAGATCCAGAGCCTACAGGCTGAGACAGAGTCTATGAGGGCACTGGTAAGAAAGCTCAGTTCATCAGCTGTTCACTTAAAAAAGAAGGGTATTTATGGCTGTGCTGGATTGTGCCATCTCTGCAGAGCATGACATTACTTTGTGTCAATGAAATGCAGCCTTCTCTTAATCATAAACATCTAAATGAGGTCTTTATACAGGTCACTTAGACTGTGAATTTTAGGCCTGTTTGATCTTCTCTGAAACCTTCACTTCCCTTTCATGTAGAAACGGGGCCTGGAGAACTCCCTGAATGATGCCAAGCACTGGCATGACATTGAGCTGCAGAACCTGGGTTCTGTCATTGGGAAGCTGGAGGCCGAGCTTTCGGATATACGTGGGGAGGTCGAGCAGCAGCGGCGCGACTACGAGACTCTACTCAACAATAAGATGAGGCTGGAGCTGGAGATCGGAACGTACCATGGAATCCTGGACGGGGAGGAGAACAGATACCACCCTTCAATGTGAGTCCTCAAGCCTGACAAATTATTGGTAACCCTGCCCTCATTCTGTAATGCCATTTGTGATATTAAAGGTAGAGTTCAAACAGTCATTTTAAGAACGAGCTTGAAGGCCACTCCTTGAGACAAGAGTCACTGATCCAATTATGTTGATCAGGGATCATCAGTTTTATCCACAAGAGGTCAGTGTGGCTGCTGGTTTTCATTCCAATCAAGCAGACGGACACTTGATTCCTTTTGCTTAATCAGCTGGTCTCAGTCTGCAAACAGCTGAGTAGTCATATGGAGTGTGCTCCTGTTAGCTTGAAAAGCTGCAGTTACATTAGTTCTTTGCAAACCCCTTGTTAACCCTCTAAATAAGATACTTTTCAAAGGTCCCTCCCCTGGACAATTCTATGTCAGATTATGTTCCCAACTCTGGTACTTGAGCACCCCTGCCCTGCACATTGTAAGCTCTGTTCCACATGGCCATGGGTAGATGATGTCATTAACATGTGGACATAGAGGGCAAGAGACCTCAAACTGTGGATTTGGGACAGACTGGTGTGACATGCAGGTTCTATATGTTCCATACCCGGCAAGATTATGTTATCAGCCATACTCAGTTTTTTTAAAGAATTAATTAGCTTATCTACAGTGGCTCAATTCAGATTACAAGCATAATGCAGCTCAGTGGTCAATTAATTTAGTAAACAGATGCACTTTAGCTCACATCTGAATATCTTCTTTTCCACCATGTTGATCAAATAGATGTAAACAAAACACACACTAAAAAATATCCACTCTGAATGGTCCTCATCTGAATGGGACACACTGCAGCCTTGCATTCCTTGCAAAAGTGGACTGCAGTGCCTCAATAGCAACATCTGAGACAGGGCAGTAGCGCTCCTTGCACTTCACTTCAGGAAGGTCTTGGACCTGCTGTTTGAATCAGCTTTGTAAGAGCAGGGAAATACTAAAATAAGCACTCCAAGATCATGATTGCGAACCAAAGTGATAAATCCTATGATTGTTTTTGCTGACACTTAACTGCAGTACGTGGATCAGTGGACACTTAACTTTCACTTTACTTACTCCTTAATAGGGCTAAACAATTTGTGGAAAAATATTTGCATTATTGGTTCTTCATCATTTATTCACAGGTTATTCTGTTAAGGACTCTTATTGTGAAGGAAAGGCTAGTTTTCCCCAGGGGGATATGCCTGTTGAACAGGAAGAACTGATAGTCAGTCGAGAGCTGACAGCTTAGAGAATGAGGCATAGCTTAGAGCGAACTCTGCTTAGTTACGGCAATTAATTTCTACAAACTAAGCTCCAGGATTTTTTTTTTTTTTTTGCCAAAAGACCAGCACTTCTATTTTTTCAGACTTAACGCTTGAACACTGAATTTAGAGAACCATACTGCCAGTTCACGAGCCCTGCATAATTAGGTTACATTAGGTTAGCATCAAATAATGCAAGATTTTCAATGAAATTTTTGCAGCTCTTGCGATTTTAATACAAAAATGATGAATCGGTCAGTCCTACTCCCCAAACTACATGCATTCAAAATAAATTAGACTGAATTTCTTGTTTCTTCTTCCCACCATCTCCACATCTCTGCAACCAAAATAAGTCACCTGGCTGGATTCTGAATTCTGAATGTGTGCTAGTCTCATATGTTTTGTCGCCCTCTACAGGTGCCCAGGTGGTTCTGCAGAGCCAGAAGGAGCAACAGCTTCTCCTCAGCCTACTTCTGAACACGCGGGGGAACCACAGCCTGAAGGTAGCACATCTTTGCTCACTTTATGGCCAATGACAGTGAACTCTTTTACTTATACTGGGCCAATGGTACTCTCTTTGGTTTCTGTTTCTTCATTTATATTTATTTTTTTCATTTTAATCTCTCTCAACAGATCCTAAAGAGAAAGAGAAGAAGAAATGAATCCTCTCCCTCACAAGCATGGCTCCAGCCCTACGCCGCAACTGCAGAGACATTTCCAGAAAATGCTTGATTTTCATTTGCATTCCTTCCCTTCTGCTCTATTGCTTGTATAGTTCTCATTGCTATTTTACAAGTTAAGAGTTTGATAGTTTGGGGAATATTAAACCAAAGCCCATGCTGGAAGTTGTGCACAAAGCATACCGCAGTATTTAATTGTATAAATACTGTATGGTTTGAACATTTCTTTTTTTGCCAAAAAGAAAACAAAACATTCATTCTTCATTCTTTTTACAAAAGGACTGCTAAAATTATACCTCTGGCCGCAGCAGACTATTTTGGTGTTTTGTCTCATTCATCCAACAGGGAGAGGTAGAGAGACCAAAATGAGAAGTGACTGGCAGGTGGGCTGGGAGAATAATTGACTTTGGTCTCCATCTACGCCCCTATGCACCATAATAACACAGTGTCCCTTTAATCACACACCTGAGAAGCAGCCACTTGGACGTCACTCCGTGATCCATGTCATTATTCGACAGTTTAGGAAATCCACAAATTACAGGGCAGGAACGCTTTAAGGTGCGTCAAAAAACACCGCACAACACTTTAGTGAACAAAAAGGGCAGAAACAGGCGTGTTTATTCATCAGAGCAGAAAGAGTGAAGCGTTGCATGTACAGAAAATACTCAATAAAAGTTAATAAAAAAGTATAAAATAAAGTCAACACATTTCGCATGATTTAGATAAAAAACAACACGTATTGTTATTATTGCTGCGGTATGGTTGGGTCTCCAATGACAGAGAAGCAGCCAGTACAGACCCGGACAGGCGTCTTCGGAACAACAGGGGCAGCCCTCCTCAGCCGAGGACTCACAGAGAAAGCGCTCACATACTGTGGAGGACAAACAGCATCAGCCTACATTAAGGCTTAACATTACACGGCAGCACGTACTCATCTTCATATCACTGTGTTTGATAGATTGATAGTATTTTTTCTATTTATTTAGGTTTAGGTTCAATATAGCTTCAAGAATATATTGGGTTGAATATAGCTTCACATGGTTTCTTAAGAAAATCTTGTGAATATGGTCTTATTTGAACCACCTCATTCTCACCTGAGGATTGGCTGAAGGTCCTCTATCCACAGTCTGTGACTGGATTCCTGGTGGTGGCGTCTGAAACGTTCAGAGTAAAAGAATGTATGCCATAAAATGCCATATCAACAGTGTTTTCTTAGGCTTTTAAAAATATACCCAGAATGGGCTACACCATAGACAACCCACACAAGACTCAACATGGAATTAAACGTTGAGTCATGATGTGAGAGATTTCATTATGAATTGTTATTGACTCCCAGTATCACACACACATACACACACATGCACACATATTTTCTAAGCTGCCTATCCTCCTGGGTTGTGGGGGGTGCTGGACCCCATAACACAGCTCACTGGATGGAAGACAGGACACCCAATATTAGTCTTCATCTTATGAAAAAATACTGTTTAATAGTGGTGGACAATCTGAGAAAAAAATCTCAATCATTCAGAATGCACAATACGTAACAATACCTTTTTTTTTTTTACACCTGAGAAGTTGGAACACAGAAAAAAGAAGCAGTAGTGCCACATTTAGTTTTATTCAGCACTAAATACAATTAAACAGGACCATTTATGTTCTCTTTGTAGTGAAACATGAAGTTGTTTATTGGCGTTTAAATGCTGCCAATATCGACAACATGCTTGTTATCCACAAAAAGCATAAATATCATCATATTGTCCATTAACTTCAGCTCAAAGTTAAGGACTGTCCAATAGGAATGTGCCTCAGCTCTTTTCCTATTGGACAGGTTGGACTTCGGGCTTAAGTTATCTGGCTAAAGAAAGAATTCCTGCTTTGTGAAATTAAATCTACTCCTGGACGATGCATTCTAAAAGGTGATTATCCATTGAGAGGAAAATGTAGGACTTCAAGGCTTAATCCCTGTTTTCAATCCTATATGTATCTCAGTTTCTATTGTGTCTCATTTGGTATATTAAAACAATAAAAACTTCTCAACTTACCAACTGAAGCCTGTCCACTGGCCCAGCTAACGAGGAGCTTCTGAGTAAAGTGAGAAGCAGGAGGATCAGCAGTACTCCTTTCATCGTGCCTGGTCTTCTTCCTTCTGTCAGAACGTTAATGTTAGAGCTGCTGTGTCTGGGTTCGTTTCATAAAAACACCTGCTGGAGGCAGGGCGGGACGCTGCTGTTTATGTCACTCCTGCGTCACTCGGTCTCGTAGGCCAGTCCGTGGGATGAATAAGCGGCGTACCATTTAGATCGACAACCACACATCTAAACATGTTTGTCTCACCAAAAAAATCAGTGCAGCAGGCCATGTGTGTTCGTTAAAAAAGAACATGATTTATTTAAAACATTTCCGTAACATGAATAAGTCCCACACAAGAGAGATCAGTCACCAGTTTTGAGATCCTTCAGTTTAAACAGAAGTTAGAGTCACCAGGGTGGCTGTCTGGGTCCGGCCCTGTCTGACCTCTCCCATCTCAAACGGAGGTAGCTAAAGATTATCTGACAGATGGGAAATAAACTAGAAAGAGATTCAATGGTCCACATAAGATCTTCTGTTTATATATTACACATCTATAAACTTGATTTTCAATTTTGAGACAGTAATTATCAAACTATTATGTGCAATGCTGTAAAAAGAGCAGGAAGAAAAAACATACAACTAAAAATAAATAAAAATTCTGTGGTTCAGAAATCCCAAAAAAAATTATAAGTAGTAAAAAAATACTGCACCATGACTGAAGATTACAATACATACTGTATATTATACAAAATCCATCGTAAAACAAGATCAGCAGAAGAACGGAGCAAATGGCCAAAAAGGAAAAGGAAGAAAACATCATCCGTAATCAAAAATTCACAGTCAGTAATCCCATATTAAGATCTGTTACTTTGCAATCACACAAAAGCAACCGGCTGAGACTAATTTACAAAAGCCTGTTCGCTAGCTGATATTTCCACACATGCACCCCAACCCTGATTCTGCAACTGCACACGAAGGACAGATTCCACCTCCCACCACAACACGAAATGATGCCACTGCACAATGAAATCACACTGCTAATGCTGGTCATTATAACTACACACATAATTTGGTCTCGATCTCCATCCATACGCCCAATAAAGAAAGATGCAGACAGCTATCTGTGAGGTAAGTCAGCCACTGCTATCAATCATAACCGTTTCACCTCACTAGGTGGCACTAGGGTGTCTCCTATCTAGAAACTGCAAGGTCTTTAGGGTAAGAACCCAAAGCTGGTGAGCAGCTGGTACAAAATTGTCAAAATTGAGCAGTGCATTAGACCTAACAGTTTCATCCTTCTTAAAAGAGTTCAGAGAATTTCAAGTTAGACAAGTGTTAGAACTGTATCCAAAAGTAGTCCCATATGATGGTGGGGTGAGCCATGGCACATCTAAATGGATGTTCTCCGCAGTTACGTTGCAGTTCGGTTGTTCTGCAAGTGTTCATCATTGCTGTTGCGTTTGTCGAAACGTTCAGTACAGATTCAGTACAATATCCCAAACTGAGTATTAAGTATGCTTTCAACATGTTACAAAAGCACAAAAGAAACGGTCACAAATAAAAAAAAAAGAGCTTGTGTTATCCCTACAAATCGTATCTATATGATTATGTTCTCCCAAGTAGTACACATTTGCTTGACATAAACCTTCAGTGGTTAACTTGTACCTTCTTGTAAATCTTAGCGATATAATAAGCTTCCAGTTCACAAGTGTCAATGTTTATCCCAAGCAAATGCCTCTTATTTCTTCCCTTATATCTCGCTCTAACGTTCACACACAAAACACAGACATTCACCTGAATGGGCACACACATACAACAGCACACACAAACAAAAATAAAGTGGTCCACATCCTATCCTTATTCTGAATACCCTTGGCTGAAGAGCTCCAGTACAAATGCTTTCACAAGTGCCGGTCACGCCTTAGGTATGTCTTTTTTTTTTCTATATCTAGTCTATCAAACGTGCTTCCTGTTCTTCTGTTCTGGCTGGCTCTCCTTTCTTCAGGATCAAGAGTGCAGCCTCGACTACAGGACCACACAGTCTGACACATACTAGCAGCTTTTGACAGCACCCACACCTCAAAGGAAAGTATTGGTCATTGAGAGAGGTTAAAAAAAAATTCAAACGTTTGCTCTGTATATTTCAAGGCTTCCTGCAACTATGGCGCCAAAAGCGTGGGGCCTCAGATGCAAACGCATGGACCCAGGGCAAGACATCATGATCACAAATGCATTTCACCCTTTAGCAAAAACATAAAAAGGGATACAAAATTAGATTTTTTTTTCAAGTTAAGAGGCAGTCCTAGGCTGGCTGAAGGGGTATACACCCGACCCCCACCCCGCCTTCATGGCAGACCATGGGTGCCATAAATGTCCAACGGTTGGTCTCCGGGTCATACATTTCGACAGAGTTGAGGTTGGACTGTCCATCGTATCCTCCCACGGCATAGAGATGGCCGCAGTTGGCCACCAGGGAGACGCGGCTGCGACGCGTGTTCATAGGCACTAGGTGGCTCCACTGATCAGCCACAGAGCTGTAAACTTCGGCACCACTCAGGAAGCCAGAGCCGTCATAGCCTCCAGCGATGTACAGCTGACTGCCCAGAGCTGCAGCGCCATGCCGACAGCGCTTGTTCATCATGGGAGCCACTGGGTGCCAGAGGGCAGTGTGCTGGTTATAGTACTCCACCTAGTGGATGGAAAAAGTGAATGAAACTTGAAAGTTGTAGAGGTGAGCACTGAGCAGTTATCTCAGATAGACTTGTTTATGTGGTTCCTGACACTGAATGACAAACTGTTATTTGACAACGTTGCACTGCTAAAAACATCATTAAGCTTGAATTCTGCCCAAACATTCCACATGTTTTTAGGTAAGCGTGCCCAATCCTGATCCTGAGGATCTACCACCCTGGAGAGTTCAGATTCAACACATCTGGTTCTAATTCAGATGTCCCTAAAGGCCTTCATTACCTGGATCAGGTGTGTTATATTAGGGTTGGAGCTAAACTGCAGGGTGGAGGATCACAAGAACCTGTTTTTTTAAACTGGAGTAACTTAATGAAGTTAATAAAGGCATATTAAGAAGTGTTTAAATACTCCTAAATCTTTCAACTACATTTAAAGCTACAGTTTGGTGAAGTAAAATTAAAAGTACACCATTTACCCCTCATCCCAAATGTAGTCATCCCAAATGTAGTTGATTAGTTGGAGCTACATGGCCCATGTAGCCACTAAAAAACGGATTCTCATAACCCTCCAGTTAATGTTGTGCAAACTGCATGCCTAAATCATCACACACATGCCTCAAACTGTTAGATATATTAGGATTAAAGTGGATTTCATACGAGATTAGGTAATGATCTGAGACTGCAGGGGGAGAATGGCTAAATGATCTATGTTGACACAAAAGGTCAAAAATTAAGGTGTGCAATAACGAATGGGCTTCATTATATTTTGAGTTAAAACAACAGCCTAAGAAAGATATAAATGCCTTACTTAGTGGATCCTGTAATTTGTCAAAATGGTCATTAAAATCTTTGTCCATTATTACTTTATTTAAAAACATTAACATTAAAGTCAGCAAATTCCTATAAGAACTCAGAATAGGGCCCTGGTGGCCTGTAGATTTTGATCAGTGAAAATGAATGCATATTTGTAGGTCAATCAGTTATATTAACAAAAAGAATTTTAAAAGAACAAAACTACACACTTAAAAAAGATGGTTCTTCAAGGGTTCTTTAGCTAAGAAAATGGTTCTATATAGAATGATGAACACTCAAATAACGCTTGATTAAAGGGTTGCATGATTGAAGGGTTCTTTGCATTGATAGAGAATGTGCAGTATATGGTTCTATACAGCACCCAAAAGGGTTTTTTCCTTTGTTACAAGCTTGACAATGTAACAACAGAAGAACACTTTTTGGTGCTGTATAGAGCCCTTTTCAAAAAGGTTCTTTATAAAACCATCTACAACACATTCTCTGTCACTTTGAAGAAACATTTAATGATGCAAAGGACCCTTCAATCATACAGGGCTCTTTGAGTGTTCATGGTTCTACATAGAACCATTTTTTCTTTACTTAAGAACACTTGAAGAACTACCATTTTTAAGAGAGCTTTCTAATTAATGCCTAAAGCATCTGTATGAATGCCAAACCCCCCCATACGTCCTCATTTAACTGAGGACTGCGTACCTAATTGTAGCCTGTGGCTTTATTTAGAGCAATTTCGATTTATTTACAACAATGGCATTATATGCAAGGGATCTTACGTTCAGCAGTCCCACTTAGATCAAAGGTGCTGTCACTGCAAACTGGTAGTTTGATATTAATTCTAATGCTAGACTAGACTTTCTGAGGTTTTCTGTAATTTTGTTTGTTTAACTGTGCAAAGCGAGACACTACCCATTCACCCCTCTGTGAGGACTCTGCTGCTAGAGTCAAGGGCATGTTAACTTTCGCTGAGGCACCCAGACCTTTGAACAGCGAGTCTGAGCCCTGCTTGCTAGCCCTACTCTTTTCTAATGTCTGGACACGCTCCACTAACTGTATAATCTTCTCTGTCAAGTAAGAGACTCATTTACACTTAGCACAAAGGAAGTTACTGTCACTAGTGACAGAGAAAGAGGAATAGCTAAGCAAAAGAAAACCTCATGATCTGCTATACTGATACTGATAAGCTGCTTGATCAGCTGATTTAAGTTAAATGTGTTGGAGACAAATTGGTGATAAATTAGGCACAGAGTTCAAACACTGCTAAGCTTCCATTACCTGTTAGCTACATTAGCCTCATAGCTCCAGTGCAAAACTAAAGACCTAAACTTAACACAACAAACATGTCTTGGCTGATTGCTACATTTGGAAAAAGGGGAAACTATAATGCCATTTTACTCTTTTAAAACTTAAAAGTCCTCTCTAACAACATTTGCATAATAACTGTGAAGAAAGAACCATCTTTAGAAATCTGCTTTATTGATGAGGCCTCTCACTCACCGTGTTAAAAATCTGTAGACCATCATGTCCACCCGAAACGAATATCCTTCCTTCAAATACTGTCACACCTGCTGCACTTCGACTCGCACTCATCTCTGTTACTATTGTCCATCTGGCCAGAGAGATCACATACATATGCAGAAGGTCAAATTACATTTCAGTGTTGTGACAGTTTACCACAATTATCAATAAAGTTAGCTTTGCAGTCGGCTATCAAAAATAACAATATGGTCATAATTTAAAAGGCATAATATGTTAAGAAAACTTAACCTACCTGTCAGTTTCTGGAGAATAGCACTCTACTGAACTAAGCGAAGACTTGCCATCGTAACCACCACAAACATATATGTGTCCATCAACTACGACTGTTCCCATTGCACTTCAGGGAGAGAAAGGGGAAAGCACACTTTCAGCAATTCATGTTTAACATCTAAACATTTTTATTCTATAACTCTGTAACAGTGATTCGGCTAAATCCTATGACGCAGTGCTTTTATGTGCAGCAACAATTGCAGTATTTATCTCAATCACACCTCATGCATCACCTTCATGAAAACAAGTTACAGATTTTACATGCCTCTATTTAATTCTTCCTCAATAGATGCCTTGCAGAGGGCCAACAGTTTAAAGCGGGGAGCATATTACACCCATACTGCCGCCAGACAACCCAATGACCATTCACCTTCACTGCTGAATACTGTGTTTACCCACAAGTATCTTAAAGAGCCCACATCCTGCATTTTTCTTGTATTTATTCTTTTTCTCTTGAGGACCACTTATGTTTGTATGGCTTTTATGCATCAGAAATGTATCTGTTTTTAAATGATAGCTTTTGAACCACTCTTTGTTCCTTAGAATTAAATAGGCCTTTTTTGTTACTGTGCCTTAAAGACTGATAGGAGATAAATGAGCTCTGTTCTGACTGGCTGTCCTGTATGGGGCCTCATTCAAAAAGCACTCAGAGCTGAAACTCTGCCTAAAACTTCAGTATGTGTGGACGGAGCTAAACTGCTATAGACTCAATAGGTTGATTGATGTAAATGAGTTGGGTCTAATGACATCACAGTAACAATGAATTTAAAATGGGCTGTTTTCGCAGCATGGCTTTCATATCTGGACTGTATAGACTGGGGAGTAAACAGTACATTTTAAAATTTTGACAATGTTTACATATTAATTCAAACTCCTTTGCGAGGGATATTTGGTTTTCAATGAAATGATGAAATGAAGCACAAATTCTGGACGCCCAGACCCTAAACAAGTAATCCTACAAACACATCAACAACCACAGTTTGAAAATTGCTTACATTGGAAAAGATTTCACAGGTGTAGCAACAGTGTGTACAACTGAAGTTAAACACAAGCAGTCTCACCTGCGCTGGCTATTCATGCTGGCTACCTTAGTCCATGTGTCTGTTTCTGGGTTGTAGACTTCAACTGTGCTGAGCCGAGATGTGCCGTCGTAACCTCCAATGGCATAAAGCAGTCCATTTACCACAGCCACGCCCACTCGACTCCGCGCCGTGCTCATGGGCTGACAGCGTTCCCAGCAGTTACCAATAGGGTCAAACACTTCCACAACATTTAAAGAGTCGCCTGGACATGACATATGTGAGTCAGAGAAAGCTTTTCATGACTCAAGTTTGAAAACACATTATCGAAACTGGAAAGGATTAAATGTTCTAAGGAGATTTTCTATGAATCATAAGATATATGCCTAGTAAAAGCTCTGCAGCCTCTGGTTATGAAATATACTCAACACAGACACATTAAATGGGAATTCCACAGATTTTTTACAATTTCTGTACATTCAATCATTAAGATGTAAACAATGTCATTCAGAGCGATTTGGTGTGAAATGGTTCACTGTAGAAAACTTACTGACTCTGATTTCTTTACAGTAGTGGTAATAGGAACCAGAGGTCACAATGTCTTGAACACAAATGTAGCCATTTTATTTATTATCCAAAACAATCAGAACCTACAGACATCTTCTGATTTCTTTATGGAAAGTTAATGATGCTAAAAGGTGGTAAATCTGAAACAAATGTTTTCATTGAGTACTTTTTTGATTTGACATGTACCTCCCTGCGATGAACTGGCGATCTGTCCAGGGTGTTTCCTGCCTTCCTTCCAATGACCTCTGGGATAGGCTCCAGTTACCCAGAAGGATAATCAGCTTAGAAAATGTATGTGTGTGTGTGTGTGTGTGTGTGTGTACCTCTCCATTATGAATGGCTTTTAAAAAAAATACATTGTAGGCCAAAACCTTCTCAAAACTATCAGGCATCAAGCGGCGTATGTAATACTTCAGGTAATAACTTTCTCTGAGAGACAATGCTTCAGAAGCCTGGTTCCTATCACCACCATTGCAAATAATTCTGACTCTGTAATTTGCTCTAGAATGGTGCGTTTCACATCAAACCACTCTGAATGAATTTTATTTAAATCTTATAGACTTAATTATGCAGAAATGTTTAGTAATTCAGTAAAACACCCCTTAAAATAACCATGCATGTACAAAGCTTTTGCTACAATGCAATAAGGTGATTCAACATTTAAACTCTTTTGTAGGCTTAAGCTTAGGCCTGGGAAACCAGATGGATATGATGCTTCATCAGTACAAAGAAATGCAGAGATTATGTAGCAGGAGAAGCATAGAGGAAGTGGAAGAACCTGCACTGTTGAGGCCTCCGACAGCATAGATTAAACCCGCGATGGACGTGCAGCATCTTTGCCGTGTCTTGAAGGCAGGCAGGTGTGGCCGCCGCTCTGGCATTAGATGGTAATCCTTTGCCTCGTCTACTAGATCCCTGTTTGAAGAGAAACATAAGACAAATTTTATCTACATGCAACATGTTCCACATACTGAAGAAAAGGCTACTCCAGTGTTCCCAATTCTGGACAAAAACTGTATGTTACTCATATTCATAAGTGACTCAACACCAAAAAACACAAGGTGAGAGAAAGTTCTAGTGGTCTCTTCATTGTAAGTACACAGAGACAGACCTGCATTTGTGGCAGCAGCGCACGAGCTCGTCCTGCTGGACTCGGTCAGCCAGGAACTGTGGTCGGCACAGGGGCAGTCTAGTCTTTGATAGCAGCTCTGGCAGGCAGGTCTCTCGCTCCTCCCTCTGATGTCGCACCCACGCGAGGACGGCCTCAAAAACCTGCGGATAACAAATATGCACAGCCATGTAAGACAGAGGGTTCACTTGGTCACGTGAAAGGATGGTGGGAATCTCTAGGCACCTAATAATTTGAATCTATTTCAATTAAGGATGTCAAGATGCAATTATAAAACGATTCTCAACGCATTTCTATTTTTGATTTCTATAGACTACATTATGATTACATTAACAAGTCCTGTTGGCTTAGATTTACTTTCCATTTTATTTTTAGCAAAAGTTTATTTTTAACATTAACCGATTTAATTAAAATCTTTCATTTAAATTACACGTTACATACTATAAAATCTGACAAACTAAACATTTTTTCAACTTTTTTCAACTCTCGTTCTTCAATTAAAGCCCACAAAAGTAACTTGCATGCTAATAGCGCCCCTCTGCTGGAGACTGTGACATTAGTACTTCACGTTTTAATAAGAATTCAGCTATCATGAGATATTATATAAAGCATAACTCTGAATGTTACTGGAGGTTAGGTATTTTTAGATATTGCTTTCAACAACCTGAGCATTTTGGGAGCAACAATCAAACCGTAATTTTTGAAAAGTCGAGCATTCTGGAAATTCATTTTATTAAAACTTTATTTCTGATGTTATTCAGCTTTCTCAGTCATTGTAGAATCTTCTACAGCTCTATTTGTCGTTCTAGGTACATCTAAAACATCAAGTTTACAGCTTCCTTCTAATTATCTGCAACATGTGAAAATATAGCAGCATAGATCCATACAAAAATAAAAAAGGGAACTCACAATACAGTTTCGAAAGAACTGGCTGCTTTTATCTTTTAGAATAGATTTTAAAGTTCTGTTACTAGTTTTTAAAGCTCTAAACGACTATAAAGCACCTGCGTACTTCACAGAATGTCTGTCTGTTCCAACACATGATCTTAGATCTACAGGTAGTGACCTTCTGCAAATACCTTCTGTAAAATACAGAAACATGGACAGGCCTCTTTCTGTTATTATGCTTCTAAACTCCACCTTTTATTAGACAGTGGAGCTGGGAAATATGGCAAAAATGTAAAATCATGATACTTTAAGACATTTTCATGATACACGATATGTTGCAATATACATTTTTTTGACATCTGCTAAGTTATAACAGACAAAGTAGTGCTACATTTAAAAATACTGTCAAAAATTCTGAATACAGTAATTTATATATTAACATTTCATATATTGTACTACAGGTAATCAACAAAACAGGACTACTTGTGCTCTCTTTGTGACCAAACATGCAATGAAGTGTTTTGCCATTACTTTTGTGGAAGATATCCACAATATGCTCAAAAAAATCATATTGGCACACATTGTAATTGATTACGATAACGATAAACATTGTCATACTGCCCAGGCCTATTAGACAGTCAAGCTCGGTACACACTTTTATGAACCATTTATAAACCCTATAATTCAGTTTTTAATTCAATTTTGATCTCTCTTTGATGTGAATTTGATGTGTGTCACTGCATTTAAAATTAATACTTTTAATGTTCATTTATTTATTTTTCCTCATATTTGATACCGAACAGAAATTATAACAGAAGAACTCAACTTTAATTTCCTCTATTACTGTTAAACTATCATCTGTCTGAAAAGCACTTTGAGCTGCCACCAGTATGACAAGTGCTCTGCAAATAAATTTGTTATTAAATAAATAAAGCTATTAAGTTGCCTAGGACTATGATATTTCAAACATTTTTCTGACAAAAACCTGGTTTAATTTTATTAAAAACACTGATTCCAAATTTTTGTCTGATACTACATAGTGCTCAAGACTGACCACATCATAAAGGACCATTTGAGCAAGAGAAAGATGTTTTCAAACAGGCAGCAGGGCAGACAATACTAATACTGCTGTTTAAGCAATAAGGTGTATTCTATTACAAACACACAGGCAACAAACATCTATTTACTAGCACTATTTACTGTGTATGTGTGTTCAACATAGATATATTTAACATTGTTTAAATGTCCAAAATGCTGACAGACCTGTTCCTCAGCCTTGACATTGAGCTCATCACAGCCCACCAGCTCCAGCACCTCCTCCGGCCGTAAGCCCAGAAACTCCTCCGATACAGACACCTCCACAAAGTGCTGGTGCACAAAGCTGTTGGCTGCATCATACAGGCCTGTGCACATCATGGTCTCTGCAAATTGGCGCACACCCAGGCAGTTCTTTGGATGCAACCTGGAATCGCAGCAGAAGAAACAGATACATTTGTAAGAGAATGTGACTGAGACGATGCATGTGCTGCCAGTGCTGTGTTTGAAAGTAGCTTTGGCTGTGTAGGTGGAAGAGCGAGTACCTCTCTTGAAGGAAAGTGCAGCAGGCGTCCTTGACATTCTGCAGCTGCAGAAAACTGGCTCCGATCAGGAGTGCCTGAACGTTCTGCTGGTCTATGGCTATGTGTCCATTATATGCAAAATTTATGAGAGCTTCAAGTGCACTTTAAGGGGACATAAAGCAAACAGCAGAACTGACAGGTCAGCATAAGCATATCAATACAGTGCATTTTTAAGCAGGTCTTGACCAGAACTTGACTGTTAAAGTGACTGGTCAAAAATGAGTAAGGCTATCATCTTGAAGCCTTATTTTTTGTCTGTACTTTTATCCATTTTAATTAATAACACTGTCATACAGTGTCAGCAGTGGTGAGTATCTACCAACAGTGGACCAAGGAGGAGGACAAATCAGCAACGACAAGGTGCTCAAGGCTGATCTTAATTTCGATACCAATTCCTGAACAATAATTTTTTCAATACTGACCAAAAGAGGGTGTGGCTTAACCCAGAAATGAGTGTGAGGTGCAACTGTAACACATTACAGACAAGCCAGCATTGACATTAATAACATACAAACGGAATGCAATTTAGAAAGCCAATCAACAGCCTAGCAAACAAGCATGCCTATTGGCTCAAGGATGCTAAGACCAACAACTAAGGTACTGAAATTCGGTACTGAATGAGACGGAATATTTTGATACTCCGTTATATTAAAGTAATTTGGTCGGTACCATAAAGCAGCTTTAGGCAACATACAAAATAAAGAATATACTGTTAGAATGTATTGTAAGCTTTAAATGTCAGTGTTCAAGCTAAACCAAGAGTGTGACAGTAAAAGTAAACCACCGTTAGCTTGGCGCCAGGTGGACAAAAAAGGCTACTTAAAAGTTTGTACATTTAACATTAAAATAAACCCACATGTTCATGACTATATGACAAAAAGTAAAGAAGTTTGTGAAAAAAACTGAGTATTCCAGGTATCATTTCATGTTAGTTTGTTACCAGAGCACTTTCGAAGTTTTTGTGCATCCGTGTTTACTCATGACAATTTTAAATATTTTCTCATAACTTTCTTACAGCGTTCAAATACTGCTTGTTTGAAAATGTGGGAGCTTGAACAGAAGCAACAGTTAAATTGCTCATTCCTAGTAATTCCTAACTTTGCTACTTGCACTGCCACTAAGATATTAGGCTATTCTCTCTGCGTGTGCACAAGGTATTAGCACTAGTATTGCTAACAATAATTTCTGAACAGTAGCCAAGCCTTGTGGTTAAGAGACACAAATAAAACAAGTCCTAGACTGAAAACAGATTTGCAACAGTGAATCCTCAGGGCTTAAAAATGGTTTAGATAATCGAGCCTTATTAGCTTTAAGATGGTTACCTGGGATCCATGCCTTGCATGACGATTTCATCTTGTTTGCACTCTACCATGTCGTTGGTGAACATGGCGTGAAAGTAAGGAATGGAAGCAGCCAGAACTATCCGGTGGGCACTAAACTTGTGCTCTCCCACCTACAACACACACACACACACACACACAAACACACACACACACAGCAGAATAAGCATTTCTCAAACCAAGAAATACCACTGCTAGTAAAGATATGAAGGATTTACATTAACAATAACTAAAAAACACTAAACAGAAATCAGTTGTAAACCAAGCTCAATGACCCTGGTTCTGTGTAGAGCAAAATAATTAAATGAAATAAACCTATTTTTAGAAATCAAAAGTGTGCTGTCAGCAGGCCTGTTCTAATATATCTGCATTTCCAAAACACAATTCGAAATCCAGCACAGCTATTTATAGCTTACAGAATCACTCGTAGAAAGAGCGCTCTGGGATAAACACATTTTAAAGCAGAGGTGCCCAAAATGTTTGTGCAGGTGGTCCAAGGGCCAAAAAGGCAGAACAGTATACAACTGAAGAAATTTGATAACAATTTATATTAGATTTTGTTCTTAACATATTCAAATACAAGTTGTATATTGTTGCTGTCCAAAAAAAGTATCCAAAAAAGTATCCATTTATTTAGATTTTTATTTTTCTACATCATTTGAACACAGCAATTTCCCTTTACATTTCATGAACAGTTTCATGATGATTGGGCCAATAGAAATGCTCCAAAACAGCTTAAAATAAAATCTCTTTACATTAAGTTACATGCAAAGTGAAGAACATTTTGTCCTCTCCTGCAAAGTTACCATTTTGTTGACACTTGTTTTTCTTTGGACAGTGATGATACAGTATAAGAATATGTTTTCTCTTTGGGTGAGGAGGGTGGGGTTAGTGTAACCTTCTGGTGGGTTCAATGTCCTCACGAGCCACACATTGAGCAGCCTTGCTTTATAACATTTGCAGCTGACTGAAGAACTTAATTCCATGTTTTGTTTTTTTTTCAAAACATCTGCACAATGTAATCGTTAAGATGTAAACAAAGTCATTCAGAGTAGTTTGGTGTGAAATGCTCCGCACTAGAGAAACTTACTGAGTCAGAATTGTTCACAGTGGTCGTGATAGCAAACAAACGTCAGAAGTGTTTAATGCCTCTAAAAGCTCCCTCACAGAAAGTTATTATACAGAATGGTTTCCTGAATGCATTACTTGAGGTACTTGCAGGGCATTGTACACCAAAATAGTCCTTAAATAATTATTTATTTAACACTGTTTTACCATTATAAGCATTACATAAAACCTCAGAATACATGTGTAGGTTCACTAGATGTTTTGGATGGTAAATAAAATTTGGCTATATTTGTTTTGTATACTTTGTGACCCCCTGGTTCCTATCACCACTGTAAAGAAATCAGAGCCAGTATGTTTCTGTACAAAGCACTTTGAATGACTTTGTTTACATCTCAGCTATTCAATTATACATTATTTGAAAATTGGTGGAATTCCCCTTTAAACACCAAGTTCTAATCCCTCATAGCATCCATTTAATACATTTTACTCCTATGTGATATCAATTAACCCTCATTTAAACCTCTCCTGGATGGAGCCTATCTAGGACAGGTTTAGTGCATTGACTGAGTGGAATATGACATTGTGTCATACAGCCTGTTAGCTGAAGGAATAGCCCTTTCAATTCAAACTATATGTCAGTTCAAACAATAACGGCCATTCAAACAGCATGTCTACAATTCCTGGTATGTGCCTTGAAAGTCTGCTGATGGTCAGAGATGAAATATGACCAATAAATGTGAGTCAAAGAACGAAAGCCTTTTTCCTTCATAAAACAGAATCATAAACAGAATGCTGCAGAGAGCTGTCAGACAGGAGGAAGCACACAGGCCCTGACAAAAACACCTTTTTGACCAGTAATGCCATTGATATCAGTGATTTGCATCTGCCTATCACCTGTTGCACAGGTGTGTGGGGGAAGCTTAGTTTTAGTCACCGGAGCAGCGGGGACAAGCACGTAGTGTGCCGGTCAAGTGAGACATGGAATGAATCACCCACCCGCTCAGGCCACAAAAGAGGCTTTTGATGGAACACTACAGACACAGGTGTTGGAGACAAGAACGGAGAGAAGAGGGCAGCTTTAAGGGCGTAATCTGACATTAGTCAGAATGCTGCTTAGCATGGGAACAAACAGCGATAGTTCTGTCGAGGCATGGGGATATGAGCGAATCTGAACAAACTGGGCAATTAAAAGCATGGATGCGCGTGCGTCTGCTTTTACATAGCCAAATAATCAGTGGTTGGCATGAACAAATGACTGACTATTCAGTGTGCGCCAGCGAGCACAAAAAATAAACAAGTATCTCAAAGCCGAGGTTCGCCCATTTTCTGTCATTTTAAATATCAGTCAGTAGATGGTGGCGAAGATATTTTTGGAGCTGTATTTTTGCTTCATAAGACAAACAAGTCAGTACATTGGGGCAATCCTAGACTTTACCACAATCACACACACTTACAGTAAAAACATGCAGAAGAAAAGGAAGTATGAGGCTGCATGGCACCATCGAGTGAGGTAGCTGGAAATGAACTACATATAATTTACAGAAACGACATACTGAAGTAATTCGGTCGGTATCACACAAGTATGACACCCAGCCCTATTTGTGATATTAAGCATTGAAAAACAAATTCTGAAAGTGTTCTTGTAATTTCTCAGGTTGAGATTATGCTTAAACACAGACTAAAAGGTTTTTCAATGGTGAATCATTGTTGATATTACCATTTACCCTCTGGCTAGAAGTCAAATGGCTCCCTACTCCCTTTAAAGTGCACTAGGTTATGAAATGATGAATTTCACACATAAATAAGTGCACTTAAAGTCTTTTAGAGAGCCAACTGGGATTCACCCCATGACTTCACCCATGTTGTGGAAAGCAGTTCATGAAACAGTATCACTGTGTTGCTCCTCTAATATCTGGACAGAACATTACTGTTGTTCAAAAAATGAGGAATAAGACTGATATTTGACTGAAAACTTGATTTTACAATGGGTTTAATCACAATAACACTGGAAAAGGTGGAGAGTGACATTTCTGGTCAACACTCAGCACGACCTGACAGCACAGGAGAGAAACCGGTGAAGAGCTCTAGTCCGTCAGAAACATCTTGCCAGAACTAAAGTAAGGCGATAAAGTCCACATCTGATCTTGAATGTTATATTAAACACACAAAGCCACCCAAATGCTATCAAATAGGTTAACGTTACTAGAGGACAGTGTTACTAGCTGTGGATGCTAACACAGGTCGGTTTAGTGCACAGCAGGGTGAGTAACGTTCAACTGACCCTAAACATGCTGAATGTCGCACAAGTGAGCGTTTGTCATCGTCGTTTTTAGCGCTGTACATTTCGAAGGTGTGGACGTACACCGCTGACAGGGATTTTAGCCCACCAGCTGTCCCTTCACTCCGGTCTTTCCCATGCTGACTGACCACCGCAGCTCTGCTAGCTTAGCCTAGCTTAGCCTAGCCGGTAGGTCGGCGAGCGGCTATTAAAGCGTTACCAGACAAATCACCGGTACCTTCAGCGTGACATCGCAGAGTTTCCCCTGTCGCCGGATCTCCTCCATGACTGAATATCCACGGGCTGGTAAATCGTGGACGGAAAAATGCATTAAATCCTCCAGCTCCTCGAATATCATGTCACCCATCGTCATTGAAGGGGAAGGGAAAGTTGACTACGACAACGCGAAGAGGAAGACTGAGCTACGCGGGACGCCGTAGAGAGAGTAACAACAACAAAAACCCACCCGGCGAAACTAGAGAGGCTTTTTCCAAATTAAAACAAATTTCGGAATCAGTTTCATTTTATCGCGTCGACGCAAAAGACTCACAGTATCAGTCTTAAACTCTTATAAGTGGAAGCCTTAGGTCTCTGAACTCCTTTGTTACGACACAGCCCCTTTCCGCAGTGCAACAGTGACTCTGGATTAACATTGCAGGGATTAGACTATATTCCTCAGCAGAGGGATTATTAGGAGCTTTTAGAGAAGGTTAAAGGCTTTTCCCCACATCAGCACATCTGAATGTGAAACTGTAACATACACAATGGCCTATATGGAAACATAACAGAGGGAGAGAGAACAGACAAATACAGAAAAACTAAACCCTACCTGTAACGCTTTTTCTGCGAACAAAAGACGTTTCAGAGGCAGGCAAAAGTGATTTTGATCGAACAAGCACATGAACTCCCAAGGTCATTAAGAGGTCGGTTTTGATATCAAATAGATTTTAACTACATTATTCGCATCTGACATTATTTAGGAAGGGTTTAAAGGATGTTGGTCGAGGATTGTCAAGGATTAAAAGGATTGTTTTCAGTATCGGCATATCTGATAATAAACCAATAATCTAGATAGGCCAATGTGGAAGAGTACAAAAAGAGCGAGAAATACTCCTTCAGTCTTTATTTAACTGTTGTTCACTGCAATGATGCTTTTTCTATCATAACAGAAAATAACTAATCCCATTACACAGACCCTGTTTGACCATTTGGACACTTTTTCAAGGTTATACAGTCATATGCAAAACTTTGGGTGCCCCAGTCAAATTAAGCCAAGCTTTGTTGATTTTCTAAGTAAAAATAAATCACATCCTCTACAGAGAACCAACTTCAATATGTCATCTTCCTGCAAATTTTAGTGCACAGTTTAATATAGTACCAACTTTTGTACAGGTTCTACATGTTTTTCCCCAAAATGTTAAATTCAGCAAATAAACAATAACTGCATTAAAACTGCACAGAAGTGTGTTCTCTGTAGAGGATGTGTAACTTACTTTCACTTAGAAAATCAACAATTTGGACAGAGTTGCATAAAGTACTGGAAAATATTTTTAGTTTAGAATTTCCATGTGAATTTGATGCACTGTTGCTAGGGGTGCTAAATTTTGATATAACAAGATTGGACAAATATTAATGGGACATTCTATTAATTGCAAGTAAAAAAGCTGTAACGAGGAAGTGGCTGTCTCCTGACCCTGAATTGTGTGTTGTCATTGCATGCTTTTGAATGTCTGTCCTTGAAAAAATACAATAAAAAAAAGAAAATCAACAGAACACATCATTTGACCAGGGCACCCATTTTTTGCATACAAATGTAACTGAAAGGATTATATGTTACTTTGGTTGAATATTTGTAATGGTTGTAGGCCTGCTTGCAAAAAGGCACCAGATATCCATTTCCCTAACTGATATTCAACTTGCAGAAGGATCTATTATTGTCCTAATGTCCTATCTAACAGGCTAGGAGTTGACCTTACCATCTTTGTTAAACCAAGTGGCCGGCTTTTAAACTGTGTAAAGTACGAAACCAACTAGAAATAATATTTTGTAATGCTTCCTCCCATGGCAGCCCGAGAACATAAGCATTATGTAGCTTTTCTTCAGAGAAAATGAAAGCACTGGTAGATTCTCAGTGTGGGTGCACTAACCTAGACTGCTGTCTGTATGTATGACTTCTTAGACATAGTACACTGAGAACTGCACTATCATCAGAGAATGTAAAGCAACTATTCAGTGACGAATCAAATTTACATAGTTTCCCCCTGACCCCAACTGTAGTCAGTCAGCCAAAACATGCTTGTGCTCGATGTTAGCTTGTTTAGTTTTTGTACTGGAGCAGTAAGGTAACAAGTGACAGAAATGAAATTGAAGCTCGCCAACAAACATTGTGCAAACTGCATGCCTAAATAACCATACACTGGCCTCAATTTAAATTCAGGCTTCAAAACATCTGATGCTACTGTTTTAGCTGTTTTACTGTTTACAGTGTAAAACACCACATGAGGAAGGAGTAAATGGTTTGAGTTAGCTGACACAGTCATTAGTATGCAGTGTGAATAGAGAGCGTTAGTAACACATCCTTGAGAGCCCCTGTATTACTACATTGAATATCAGATAGCTGCAACTCTCTAAATTGCCCAGATACTTTCTCAGTATCTGATTTTAAAGAGTACATCCCCCTGCCCTTCCTGTATTTTTAAAAATAGCACATTAGGGGTGGATCACAAGTATATATGTGTGTGAAGGCAGTGATAAATGGAGGTAGAGAGAGAGAGAGAGAGAGAGAGAGGAAGAGAGTGAGGAGTGAGGGGCCATCAGTATTAGCCATTATAATTATTAGCCCTATACTAAACATGGACAACAGTCAACACTGGTCAAAGAATGCAGAAAATGGCAAACGACTAGCAGGCTCGTGGCAAGACTTTTAGAGTGGGTATGTTTTTATAGTCCTCACTATTTGGTTATGGATTGGGGTGTGGCTACAGATTTAGCACCATGGACTTTTTAGGGTCTTAGAGAGTACAAACCATGATGTTTATCTGTGTATACATATGTATGAAAATATGATGCCCATTCGTATATATTGTTTTGTTGTCCTGATAGTATTTATTTTCATGTGTATTCATAGTTCTGCATATTTATTGTCTAGTGTATTTATTGTATTTTCACACTGTCATGTATCTGCGCTCGGTGTAGTCCTGTGAAATGCTTTCCTCTTTGAAGTTTCATACTGTTTGTGCTTTTTCAAAGGCAGGTTGAGATCTGTCAGCTTGTACCCTTAGCTTGTAATGCCTCTCACTTTAAGCTTTTGAAACCTCAGGCCTTTGTGTGGGCCCACAGTTCAATTTCTCACTCTCATACCTACATAAGATAATAAGCCTGTATGATGTTTTCTTCTGTTGGTTATAGTTTTTAGCTTCTTTTATGTAAAATTAGTCAGATAAACTTTCACTTTTTTGAGGTTTAACCATCTCAACACAAGTCCACATATAGGCTGTAAGTGACCCTCTTAATTCATCTATTTGCACCTCAGACTACATATTTATAGTCTTAATACTTGACTTGCTGGCCTTAAAGGGCCCATGTCCTAATATTTTCTTGTATTTTATTCCTCTAAGTTCTACCAGTGATTGATGTGGTTTTATGTACCCAAAACAATAATCATTCATTTTACATGACCATTTTCCAAGCTCTCTTAATCTTTAGAATTACGCAGGTTGTTTTTGTTAATGTGCCTTTAAGAATGACCTATCATTGCTGTTGTAAGAAAAGCTTTTATCTTCATTTTTGTCATTTTTCTTTTTTTTTCCCGCATAATCAAAATGCCATGATGAACGGCCCAACAGAAATGGTCCAAAACTGCTTGGAATAAAATCTTGTCAATCGTGTGTTTTTCCTTTTTCTGTAAAATTACTATTTTGGAGATAAAAGATTTTGTTCCAGCAGCAACAATATATAAAAAAAACTGTTCTGATTGGCTTCCCAATCTGTTCTGATTCACAAAATCAGTTCAGGCTGAAACATCATTCTTTATCATTTCAGTGTTAAAGGGAGGAGCTAAAGGGCTGAATATGTGGATATTTTAAAATGAGTATTACATTCATGACATCACAAAGGCAATCAATTCAAAGCAGACTGTGTTTTCGCTTTAGTTTCCATACATGGTCTGTATAGACTGAAGAGTGAATGGTATTTTATGGTATTTGAAACTTTTACGGCATTCCCAGCTGGCCACCAACATCAATAGAAGTTAATATCTGGTTGAATGTTGGTCATGACGTCGGCTGACCAAAATTCAATATCAAAACAGCGTCTAATTCCCACGTCATATTGACATAGAATATTGACATGTAGTCATCAGGCATGGTGACCAGAACCCAACGTCTAATTAACGTCATAATCTTAACATCAATTCGACGTGACATTCTAACATTATTAGACATGGATATTTTGTTGGTTTAAAATCGTGGTGTCAGGTAACCAAATTTCAACGTCTTCCAAACACCACATGCCAATGTCATATTGACATAGAATATTGACATGTAGTCATGGTATATTTCTGTTTCTAATGACAGAACTTGGTTGGTTCTATACTACATCAAAGTTTATTTTAAAAAAATAAGCTTTTACCAAACAGGCATCTTTGACTCAAGCATAACACTTATCTAACATGTTGTTCCTTGCGCACTTAATGTATTGCTGCAGTTTTTTCCTGTGACGAATAAAATGAGCTAAGATAAACATTGATGTGTCAGGTTTACATAGACGGCTTGAGTCCAGTTTGAGTCGCTTATCTAGCCATGATCCATTTTCCAGCAGTATTCAGAGAGCAAACAAATAAGTTGCTCAATTAATTTAACACAGATATTACAAATGTATAAATATTGTGTGTTGGTATTAAGGTGGTCAGTTGCTTTGATTTTGGAACGTTAAAAGTGGTTATAATTTGTTATTTTCAATGCAGTATATACAGATTTTTGGGCCAAAATAAAAAAAATCTATATTAACCTATAGGTTCTCCAATCACATTTTTAAGTTTATTGTATTTTTGGAAATAATTATGTGTAACCAGGGAAGCATGGAGGCATGGTGCAAGTGCAAGTTTCTTTAATTTGAATCCAGGTTTGAGGTGGCAAGCATAGCAAAGATCCAAACAAAATAACAAGAAACAAACTTATCCAGAAAATACATGAAACAATAAAACATAATGCACAGCAAGGACATTAAGAAATACACTAAACAGAATAAGATGCAGCTGGGAGTAATAATGAGAGGGCAGGTCTACAGACTAGAGACAGGTGAGACAGATAACCAAGAGGCAGGACAGGGGAGGAGACAGAAACCAAAACAACAACAACAAGAGCACATAGCTAGACACACAAGGGAAGGTAATCCTAAGACTGACACAAACAGAAACAGAGCAAGGATGTTACATTCTGAATCCTACTGAAATAT